CCTGATAATGAAAATCATCTGAGCCATAAAAGATTAATTATCCAATGAGACATATTTTTGTAGAGTTAATTTAACTAGATATATTTAGATTGAACAAATCTCATTTCAGACCAAAAAAATAAAGTTATTGGCAGTTTCTAAGGTTATATATATACCAGGAATAAATCACTGATTAATATATCTAAAATTGGCATTTAATGTATAGAATGGCTATTCTGATTACTGTTCTAGGTTATACTTAGCTTTATAGAACACTCTTAACTGCGTATGACATTTAACTATAAGAATGTCTCTTACTCTATAAAATACAACTATATTAACTTCTTATATGAACTAACATTATCATCATTGAAAACGCAATCTTAATAGAATCTTGGTTACTATCTGTGTCTTAAAATGTGACATAAACTGTGTGGATATCCTGGTGCAAAGCACAAGATTATCTAGTGAGACAGCCTTCTATTATTTTGACATGAAAAGAAAGTCTTTGGATATTTTCAGCGGAAAGACACTTTAGATGATAGTTCAGCATCAGATCAGTAGCACTGTAAATACACCGTTGACTGAATGATCAACAATCTCAGACAGGTAAAAGGACAGCTCCCTAAACTGATGAAAAATCATCATGTTAAATATCTTTTCCCACATGCAACCTTGTGATTACTTACATTTCTGACTAGGTTACTCACAATGGTTACCTCCACACCAAACATGCTTATATGTTACACCCACATTATTAATCCAGACATAATTACCATGAGATCTAATTATTCACGGTATTAACTTTTGTTTTATAACTGTAGACAGAAACTATTAATAACTATCAATCTTTACTAAAAAAGTACCCTAAACCAGAGCTTTTGCATGACCCATTGTCTGGTACTGAACACATCACAAGAAACTGAACTCTGTCAGCCTTGCTGGAATTATAACTGCAAGTTTTGAACGTTGTGAACACAAAGCACAGCCCAGGTGCCAAGATACCATTTCCTGCAGTGCACGTTTGAACGCAACTTTTTAAGACATTTCGTATGAGAACTATGTCCAGAATAATAATGGTGTTACGGTACGAACGTCACATATCACATTATTTCTCCGATAGCTTAGCTCATATAGCTTCTATGTCTGGAGTCTGAGGTCATACAGATTTCTGGTGTTACCTAACAGCAGCAGCAAGTTAGGCTATCCTAACATACACTCTAAACATAAGGGATCCCAGATACCACAGATACGATCTCTGAAAACGCACTGGACTTGATATAAGGAAAAGCTTGTTGAAACTAATGAAAGAACTGACCTGTGGTAGCCTTGGGTAACTACAGAATACCGTGATGGGGTGCATGAGTTGGAGGCAGAGCACTCAGAAGTGAATTGTCAGGGTGGGTTACTTATTTATGACTTTCTTTGCAGCTCATGCACCGAGTCCATTTACTTAAAAAATGAGCCAATTGGATAAATTCAGTATACTTGGATATCCCTGCACCAGGCAGGCATAAACTAATCAAATTTGAAAATAAATGAGACTATTATATAAGTAATGTTCCCTCACTATGATAATAACATGCTCTATAACATCAACACAACAGGTTGGTATAACCATCAAGTAAGCATTCTATAAATAACCACTGACATTCACTTTTAGACAGCAATTTTGCTGGCTTCAGAGACAATGGTAGCTACACTAGAAATTAAACGTTAATCAGGACATATAATATCAAAGAGTAGCAATAACTCACAGTTGAGCACTCAGCTCAACTTGTCACAGTCACGGAAACATATCTGCTATGGAGTTGTATTCTGGTAAAAATACAAAGATATCCAAAAGCTTCAATGCACTCAAAATGTGAAACCTTTTCCCATCTACTATATACTTGATGTAAGAACAAATAAATTAACTATAAACATATTACAGTAAATGTAGATACCACTTTCTCAATTTAGGCTGCAAAATTAGGGCAGATTATGATCTATTGAATATAAAATTGAAGAGGTCCATAGACATCTTTTCTATATGTATAATATGGGTTGTACAACTAGCAAAATATTTTATGTGCACAACTGCATAGCAAATTTTGTTCTTAAGAAGCTCCTAGATCTCGGCTATACAGTAATTCATTACCTTTTGGGGAACAACAACACATAACCTAACATGTTCACTTAATTAAGCAACAGAGAATGCATATATCTATTAAATATCTAAGAAGGACATCGAATCAAACAACTAAACCTTAATGAAGTATTGGCATCAAAAGTAGGGTTCGGGAGATATCAAGTATTTATATGATGCAATTAAATCGCCGAACATAGACTTGGATGTGTTGTTAAGCCAAGGGATGGAATCAAAGTAGTGAATGTTGATACAGAAGCTTTACAGTGATGGGTAATAAGGAGAGAATGCCAAAAGAGAACAGCACTAGGCACGGGTTGTGTGCCAAGCCACGAACACAACATTAAGGGGCTGGTGGGGGAGGGGTAAGAGGGAGTCAGTACCAGCTGGATATCAAGCAAACAATCGATCACATCCAAGAATCACAGATCACTTAGCCGTCCCCTTAAGAGATGTGTACCTCTTACCTCGGTCATGGTGACTTAGTCTGTGCTTATCTAATAGTTCACAAGCTCAGAAGCGCTACAAAGTCATCCATAACAATAACCTTTAGTTGATTACGCTCTCGTAGCGCTTCAGAACACGTAAACTGTTAGTAGATACAAACTAAGTCGTTATGATTGATGTAAGATAAAGAGATCTCGGAAGTGGACGTGTAAGTCCTCTATAAATCCTATCCCGAAGGGTTTCCTATCCTGGCTTCACTCTTATGGCAGTATCTATTCAATGTGAAACTTTCCTGATATTAGCAACAACATTATTTACAAGATTATTTTTTACTTAAATAGTATTTCAAGGGAGAGTTTCACGGATCTTGAAGAGATGGAATGAAGTATATTTTAACCCTGAGTAGGGAAGTGAACCGATAAATGTTCCATTCCAGAGATGATCGAAAATAAAATATCTCAAGACTACTGAACAATCAGTGAGCATATATATATACTGTTGATCACGCTATCCCTTTCATGATAACATATCTGCATACTTCGAGAAATTCAGAATGCCAGGATGTGGAAGCGTACAGAAAATTAATTTACTGCAACATATATGCCCATACCGATGACTTTAGAAACACGTATGTCATTGTCAATAGAGCGAGTTTCGAATCTTGAAGGATTTGACAAAACAAGGGGAAACTTTACCAGTTCGGTTAAACATCTCAGGTAGATACTAATCACATAGCATTTATGATGATTAGGTAAATTGTAAAAAAAAAAATATATATATAAATCCCATCAGTACTGTACTATGTAAGTTTAACCATAATAAAGAGGTCATTCCAAACAGGTCGTAAAAGTTACTCTACATTCCAATGTGATGATTTTGAAAGCGGATGTTCCCCTGTTTCATTGTATTATTTCAAGATTCGATGCATTTCAGTACTTATTACAGAGATTACAAGAATTTTAAACAACAAGGAGTTTGTGCGTGGTTGTGAGGACGGGCACGAGCACCCTGTAGACTGCCCTGTGACGGGCACGAGCACCCTGTAGGGTGCCCCGTGACGGGCACGAGCACCCTGTAGGGTGCCCCGTGACGGACACGAGCACCCTGTAGGGTGCCCCGTGACGGACACCAGCACCCTATAGGGTGCCCCGTGACGGACACGAGCACCCTGTAGGGTGCCCCGTGACGGACACGAGCACCCTGTAGGCTGCCCTGTGACGGACACGAGCACCCTGTAGGGTGCACCTTCTCTGGAAGCCTAGAATTAGTACCGACTTACTGGAATTTTGCATTGCTTATTAACGTAACATTGATTTCTTCAATTGCATTTGACATATATATATATATATATATATATATATATATATATATATATATATATATATATATATATATATATATATATAACAAAATCAAATTTAAAAGTTTTAATCGACTGTTTTCATAAACGTTTATATAATTCTGGTATTTGTGAATGTTTATTTTTTAAATACATGTCAACAATAAAACAATCATGCCCTATAATTCTACAATATGATTTTGCAATGAAGATAATATATATATATATATATATATATATATATATATATATATATATATATATATATATATATTTTGGTAGCAGTCTTTCCTGTAGACATATATTATTAAATATGACCGAAAAAGTAAGATTAATAATTCTAACACGAATTTTCTCAATATTTCTTGTGTTTCTTTTCACTGTCGATGGTAATTGAAAAATCAATTCTAGAATTGATTTTTCAATTACCATCGACAGTGAAAAGAAACATAAGAAATATTGAGAAAATTCGTGTTAGAATTATTAATCTTACTTTTTCGGTCATATTTAATAATTATATATATATATATATATATATATATATATATATATATATATATATATATATATATATATATATATATATAATTTAGTATAAATATAAGCACGGTATTGTATTTTCTAGTGATGTTTAACAAATTAGCACAAAATGTATTATCTCTCCCTTTAAATTTTTGTATCGAAATAAAAAAATTGTAAATTTTTTTTCGATTTTTGTAAATAGCGGAATTTGTCTAAGATGCGACAAGCACCCCATTAATACTATTTGCACTTGCCTATTGCCACTCATTGCTATAGTCGTGTTACTCACATGCACAAGGAAACTCTTGCCTCACAACTCAAGCTCAGTTTCCACCACAATTGCCTCTCAAATCTATCATTTTTTTCCATCAATAACTTTCTTGCATTCCTTCTATATTTAAAAAAAAAAAAACTTCCTCTCTCACACATGGAGGTATAGGTTTGTCTATTAGTGTTAAAGATTCTTTTGATTTTCAGTACAGAAGGCTGACAATGGATCACTGTGGTTTTCAGAGAATATATATATATATATATATATATATATATATATATATATATATATATATATATATATATATATATATATATATATATATACACACACACAACAAAGGGCAGATGAGATAACAAATGGAAATAATAACATATGTGGGCTGTACCACGGGCAGGTCTCATTGTTAGCCTTCCATGTGTTAGGGTAGTTGACATCTTAACAAAATATATCAGGTGAAATAATTCTACAAAAGTACAAAACCCTATGTACACGATGTTACGCTGTGGTGGCCGGGAGTCTTAATGCTTTCTGGCAATGATATTCACGAACTCTGTTGAGAGTCAGAAACACAGCATTATATTAGTCTCGTTCCTCTTAAATACCTTCATGGTAATATTAATAGAAATGTATGATGATAATTTTGAAGTGATCTTGCATGGAGTATTTGTAATGAATTAAGTTGCAAGCTAACAGAAGAGAGAGAGAGAGAGAGAGAGAGAGAGAGAGAGAGAGAGAGAGAGAGAGAGAGAGAGAGAGAGAGAGAGAGAGAGAGAGAGAGAGAGAGAGACAGACAGAGAAACGTAAGGCTCTAAATCCATATTTACACTTTATGAAAGCTTGTTTATTTTACTCGAACTTGAAAATCGATAATTTCATTGCTATACCCAAGCGAACTGTGGGCGAGCTGCGCCCTTACCTTCGTAGTTGACTTTGCCGTCGCTGTTGGGTGACGCCTCCTTGATCATGTCCTCCACCTCCTGCTCGGACATCCTCTCCCCCATGCTGGTCATCACGTGACGCAGCTCCGTCGACGACAGGTAGCCGGAGTTCTTCTTATCAAACACTCTGGAAGAAGTGTCAGAAATTTAACCCCCCCCTCGCTCATGTTCTTAGATACATAACTATCATAATGCCGGACAGCAAAGATGACGTGAGTTGCCCTAAGAGAATGATTATTTATTAAATAGTTGTACATGTGGACGTGGTTTCGTGACTACTCTCTCTCATCCGGCTGATGTCACTCCCATGATGCCTCTCTCACACCCGCCTGATGTCACTCACAAACACTGGTGTTTCTCCCCCAAATCTGCCAGTTTGTGCTCCCTCCAGACACGCTAAACTTAACCTTTCCTCAAGATGTTCTGAACAGTCATCATCAAGACATATTGAACAGTTATCAAGACTTACTGATCAGTTATCAAGACTTACTGAGCAGCTATCAAGACTTAGCAAACAGTTATCAAGACTTAGTGAACAGTTATCAAGAATTACTGAACAGTTATCAACACTTATTGATCAGTTATCAAGACTTACTGAACAGTTATCAAGACTCACTGAACAGAAACGCTTTGCGTGTTAGTGGCTTTGCAAGAATGTAAAAATACCAATCTTATGAAATCACACAAACCCATTGTACCTTCTTGTAAATAAAAATGTTATTATTATTATTATTTAAAAATATACTGAACAGTTATCAAGACATACTGTACACAGCTATCTAGACATATTGAACACTTAAATACATATTGCACAGTTATCTAGACTTACTGAACAGTTATCAAAATATACTGAACAGCAGTAAAGTTATACTGAACATCAGTAAAGTTATGCTGAACAGTTATCTAGATATACCGCAGTTATCAGAATACAGTATACTGAAATGTCTCCTAAGTGAACCAGCTGGTAGAACAATGCCACCATATCTACTAGTCATAAAAGCAGGTAAAGGAGTGCAACCGCTTCTACTGAAACCAACAAGACCTCCATCATCTCTGGGCCTACTCCGCCACGCTTCGTCAAAATTAGAGCATCAAACCACATAAATAACTTCAATAATGTTGTCAAAGCTCACTGGTATTCCTCCCTCCTCACCCCGACCTCACGGTGGATATGCGAAGAAATTGTACGGATTTACCCTACACAAGTGTGTATGAGTCTAAGTGGGCCTACCTACCCTAGCACAATTCGAAGGCCCTCTGACGAGCCTCGCAAAGGAATGATGACCAGACCACACACTAGAATGTGAAGGGACGACGACGTTTCGGTCCGTCCTGGACCAGTCACATTCGACTTGAGAATGGTCCAGGACGGACCGAAACGTCGTCGTCTCTTCACCTTCTAGTGTGTGGTCTGGTCATCATACTTTAGCCACGTTATTGTGACTCATCGCCTGCTCGCAAAGGAATACCTTTGCGAGACTCTGGTACAGTTTCTTAGCAATAACTTTCTCTTAATCTATTGAGATTTGAACGCTTGGATCTCCTGCGTACAAATGCAGATTGCTTTATGTGAGGGACGGGTTGCAGCGGAGTGGTGACTATCAATAATCTATCATAAATATAAACAGTTTTGTCTTCAGACAACAAACAGCCAAGACGTTTAAATCCCTAAACACACTAAACATTCACTCACTCCACACATTCTCTTGTGATATTTACACTTACAAAACCTTTTTCCTAAAGTCTAATCCTCTTTTAAAACTCTTCCTATTTAGATGTAAAAGAACCCATGAGTAAAATAAATATATCTTTGATATTCACAGAGTCTACTCACTTGTGTGCTTCCTTGAATTTATATTCCCTCCTACCTGACCATGACTACTCACTTGAAGGCCTCCTTGAGTTCATCTTCATTACCAATATCCTTCAGCTTCTTACTCATCATCTGCAGGAACTCATTAAACTCGATGGTTCCGTCAGCGCAGGTCTCCACCTCGCCCACCAACTTACGCAGCTCAGTTTCTGATTGGATGAAATTTGTTGATGTCAAATATAAAAAAAAAGATTACCAAACAAAATATTTGTCAACTTCTGAGTGTCAACAGCACAACGAAGGGTTTTTGGTGTTGAATTGTAAATTTCGGCTTAAAAATTCACCAAACACAAGACAAAGTGTGTTTGGTGAATTGTGTGTTTAGTGTGTGTGTTTGTTTAATTCATATATATAAAGTGTGTTTAATTCGTATATATAAAGTTACATATACATACGAATTAAATGACTTTAGGACATTAACCAAAAACGTATGCACCTTTTCCCTACATGAACTGTTTTACTTCAAATATTAAGCAATGTGACCAAATTTTTGTTCATGGGTAGTGCTATTTATTCATTGTTTATACCTAAACGTATGGAAAATTATTATTATTCCTCTCAAACTTTGCTTTTGTGGCCAGGACACTGATATTTTAAAATGTATCAATTTCCATTAAGAATAACGGGATAATTTGCGTATTTTCGTTCACATAAAGTCAGAAAATAACAACATATGGATTAAAATTAACATGTATTTATACTAAAAATATACATAAATGGCCACAGCGAAGCAGACGACGAGTCACAATAACGGGGCTGAAGATATAGTGACCAGACCACACACCAGAAGATGAAGAGACGACGACGTTTCGGTCCTTCCTCGACCATTATCAAGTCGTAAGAGACCACAGGAAAGACTTGAAAGTCAGTAGTTTTCGACATTTACGATTATAATGTAAATAACTTTCACGAATCAGGCTCCAAATGTTTTCCATTATGCTCGTAAAAATGTTTTTTTGGCAGCAGCGTTTGAAGTCCAGTATATTCTGGTGGAAGAGCTCACCTTGCTCCTCCCAGTACGCTCCCAACATGGGAGCGTACCTTGTGGCCGACCCACAAGGCTGCGTCCTGGGACCCCTGTTCTACCTAGTTTATGTGAGAGCTCCATAATCCTTGAATTTATCAAGATGAGCATCAAGGATATGGACTCTGAGGGACGTCCTGCAGTCCCTCAGAGCGTCCTGCAGAACTGCAGTGCCGTAGTTCTTCACCAACTCCATATAGGTTTCGGCCTTGTGATTGCCCAAGAAACCCAGAGCACTGCGACAACGCTGTTCCAAGCCACTTATTGATCAGTTATCAAGTGGCGTGGTTATCAGTTATCAAGTGACCACTTTCTCCTTCACAGTAAACTTCTCGGGGAATTCCTTGCTTTGCATGACCTTCTTTATCTGTAGTCCGACGTAGACATTAGCTTTGACCTTTGCCTCAGTCAGCTTCCACAAGAAGTCTTGTAGGTACTTGAAGCTTGCCGACTCCTTATCAAGAACTGTGACAAGTTGTTACATGAAGCCCAATTTGATGTACAGTGGTGGTATGGGAACTTTCCGGGGGTCATTCAGTGGTTTCCACTTGATGATGTTCCTCCCCACAGAGAACTAGTCCAATGTGGCCAGTCCCGGCTGTGGTCGTGCACCTTAGAGTCCATGTTGTCCTAAAGGCAAAGACAGCAGGGGAAACCTGGTAAAACTGCCTTCGAGACCCAGAAGCTACACCATTTGAAGTCTGCGACGACCTCTCCGCCGTAAGCACCTTACATCAAGGCGTCCAGCAAGGTCTTCATGCTGCTGTGATACTCTCTGAGGTGCACCATTAGGGTGCTCCGTGATGGAGCACCACGGCTTTGGGACTCACGAATGTGCTGTCAATGAAGAGGTGTCATTCGTTTGGGTTACAGGCACGCAATGTTCTAGGAAAATATAGAAATGTCAAAATATCAGTGTCCTGCTCACAAGAGCAAAGTTTGAAAGGGAAGAAGAGCCATTTTCAATATTTTGGAGGCATAAGCAACAGTACATAGCATTAGGAGAAAAAAAGTTTAAACACAATGGAATAATCTCTCATAAACGCTTGATACTTTCCCCCTTTCTTTTATATTGGAACCAGTTCGACTGTCCTTGCGACCCATAACCCCCTCGAGTCCATCGGTCATGTAGAGCTTACCTGATGGCCGCTGTCCGAGTGAGCGCATCACCACTCCTAACTCAGCCGTTGTGATCAAACCATCTTCGTCCTTGTCGAAGAGCATGAAGGCTTCTTTAAACTCCGCCACGAGGTCATCTGTCAGCCCATATTCAACCTGCCAACATCACTGAATTGTATTGTATGCGGGTCATGTAGGTATATATGTACACATTAGAGCATCTGATGGGTGAGAGAGAGAGAGAGAGAGAGAGAGAGAGAGAGAGAGAGAGAGAGAGAGAGAGAGAGAGAGAGAGAGAGAGAGAGAGAGAGAGAGACAGACAGAGAGAGAGAGAGAGAGAGAGAGAGAGAGAGAGAGAGAGAGAGAGAGAGAGAGAGAGAGAGAGAGACAGACAGAGACAGAGAGAGAGAGAGAGAGAGAGAGAGAGAGAGAGAGAGAGAGAGAGAGAGAGAGAGAGAGAGAGAGAGAGAGAGAGAGAGAGAGAGAGAGAGGTGGGGGAAGACAGACAGACAGATTGAGAAGCTGTGGAATTAGGTCGCTGGGATACAACAAGAGGTCCATCGCTCAAATACCTGCAAATAAGTGATTGAGAAAATATATACTCAAGGAAAACTGGGTATAAAGACAGCTACCAGGAAATACATATCTCGCTACATGGAGACTGGCGAGTAAATAACACCTGGTGAACATGTGAACAGATGCAGGTACAGGGAGGCGCGGTGTTCACCCTGACGCCCACTTGTGACATGTTCGTCTCACCTCAACATCAAAACTTATGAGTAACAGTAAAAGTTTACAATGGTGACAGAGAAACACTACTTAACCAAGTCTATGGTGACAGAGAAACACTACTAAGAGGTTTATGGTGGCAAAGAAACACTACTAAGAGGTTTATGGTGGCAAAGAAACACTACTAACTAGGTCTAAGTTGACAGAGAAACACTACTGACCAGGTCTAAGTTGACAGAGAAACACTACTAACTAGGTCTAAGTTGACAGAGAAACACTACTGACCAGGTCTAAGTTGACAGAGAAACACTACTAACTAGGTCTAAGTTGACAGAGAAACACTACTAACCAGGTCTAAGGTGACAGAGAAACCCTACTAACCAGGTCTAAGGTGACAGAGAAACACTACTAACCAGGTCCAAGGTGACAGAGAAACACTACTAACCAGGTCCAAGGTGACAGAGAAACACTACTAACCAGGTCCAAGGTGACAGAGAAACACTACTAACCAGGTCCAAGGTGACAGAGAAACACTACTAACCAGGTCCAAGGTGACAGAGAAACACTACTAACCAGGTCCAAGGTGACAGAGAAACACTACTAACCAGGTCTAAGGTGACAGAGAAACACTACTAACTAGGTCTAAGGTGACAGAGAAACACTACTAACCAGGTCTAAGGTGACAGAGAAACACTACTAACCAGGTCCAAGGTGACAGAGAAACACTACTAACCAGGTCCAAGGTGACAGAGAAACACTACTAACCAGGTCCAAGGTGACAGAGAAACACTACTAACCAGGTCTATGGTGACAATAAGGTCGTATTGCTGGTGCTTCATGCCCTTCTTGCCCTTCTTGCCTCCTTTGACCTGGCCCTTGGAGGGCGCCTGCTTCACCTGCGTCTTCTGGGCGGAGGGTTTGGTCACCTGTTTGTTGTTCTTGGAGGGTGTTCCTCCCTTCTGGGCGGCCACTCCTTTCCCAGCCTGACTCTTGGGCACAGCATCGACGGAGCCACTCTTGCTTCGGGCCTAGAGAAAGGGAAGAGGAATGGTTAAAATACTTCTTTCTTGTGGATCTGTACGCCCTAAAGCCTTATTTTCCCTAATAATAATAATAATAATAATAATAATAATTCTAATAATTATAATTGATATGTATACTATTTCCATAAGAACATGTAACAATGGTTAATTAGCGGGTACAGATATTGCACATTATATAAAGCAAGTAATATAATTGATTTTGAATCAAGTGATATAACTGTCAATAATTGATTTGACCAGCACCATCATTCTATCACTTTGTATCTTTATGTTGGACGTGGGACAGTTTCACCTACCTATCGTCCCCTCTACTTCACAACTCGGGTTTAAATAGCTAGTTTCTAAAGCCTTGTGCGATACAGTTCTGTTTCCTTACGTTCCTTTGCCGGACTCCTAGATGACAGGTTCTCCAAGACAGGTTCTCTTCCCTGACTATACCCTTCTGCATTTGTGTCCGCCACCGTGGGAGGCAGCGGGGTGTGTGGGGGAGACTCCCAGGGTAACTCAACACACGGAAATAGAGCATGGGTTTATCATGGGTGGAGACGAACCTGGGCGGGTATTCTATTTATTTACTGGCCTAGCCCCACCTTCCTCATCCTGTCCGGCCTAGCCCCACCTATCCATCTCGTCCGGCTTAGGCTAACCTCCCAATGCCGTCAGGTCTAGCACCACATCCCCATCCCGTCCGGCCTAAACACACCGACCCATCCCGTCCAGCATCATCTCAAAATTATATATCATTACTCTCGTTTAAAGTTACGCAAATATTGCTTTCAATCGGCGTGTTCACCAACTACATCACCTTTGTAACCGAGGAAACAACCAATCCGTTAAAAAAGTGTCGTGTTAATAAAAATTCAAAGCACTTTAATATTGACGCTTTGCATGCACCTTTCCCGGTCGCTGTGGGTTGCTTCGGCCCGCAAAAAGTTCAACAAAATAGATGCTTTTTTTTTGTTTACGAAGCGTCAACTGGAGAGAAGGGGCTGAGAGCTGACACGCTCACACAACCTAAACTCTACATAACATATTTACACAGAAGAAAACCACAAGTAAAATTGCAAAGCATAATTCTGCAACACCCCCCCCCCCTCGCCAGTTTAATGCACATGCAATTTGCAACGATATGTGGCCGGAAGGTGGCATAGCCTTCACACACGCACACCACAGCAGTCTGCACCACAGCAACGGGGAATTACAAGGGGAATAACAAGTGTAATTGTAAAACTGCTATTACGATAGACATTTGTGTCAAGGAAGAGGGGAAACTTACTTAATAGACTCGTGGCTTGATAAGAGGGGAGTAGAGGGGTCGACGATCCACCAAACACTGGCCATTAGGGACAAATGGTGGAGTGTGCTCTGACACACTCCATATAATGCCTTCCATTAAACGGAATCGCCCAACCCGTAAAAATTACGGCGTATTGGAACAATTACACCAACGTAATAGTGACGCTTTCTAGTCATCGGTCACTTATACGTTAAGTGGGTTGACTGGCTTCGTATGTTTCTGGTTAGTCAAATCAGTTGCACTCTGTAAGGAGTGCAACTGATTTGCCCTCCGGGGGAGGGCAAACCTTGGAAACAACGGTTTCACTCAATGCAGGCCGGCGTTCAATCCCCGACCGTCCAAGCCGTTGGGCACCATTCCTCCCTCCCCCGTCCCATCCAAAATCCTTATCCTGACCCAATCCAAGTGCTATATAGTCGTAATGGCTTTGCGCCTTCCCCTAATAGTTCCCTCTCTGTACGGAGCGGCCAATCACAAGAACAAGTTGCACAGAGGCGGCATGTGGTTGAGAACACTCAGAGATGCACTGTATGGGACAACTGTTGGTGGCAGGGACGGAGGGTGGACTGTGCTACTGCTGCTGCTTGTACAGGGAGGCTGAGTACTGAGCAGGGTTAAGTACTGACGGCCCGCGGGGAGGTGTGTGCACGCCTGCCACACCACTACTATGTCTTACAACTATTGTACTAAGCTTTGGAACAACTGCAATAAGCCCTAAAACAACTGCAATAAGCCCTGGAACAGCTGTAATAAGCCCTGGAATATCTGCAATAAGCCTTGGAACAGCTGTAATAAGCTCTGAAACAACTGCAATAAGCTCTGAAACAACTGTAATAAGCCTTGCAACAAGTGCAATAAGCTCTGAAACAACTGCAATAAGCTCTGAAACAACTGTAATAAGCCCTGCAACAACTGCAATAAGCTCTGAAACAACTGTAGTAAGCCCTGTTATCGTTGACGTAGTTACACTTCCATTTGATGTACTTAGATTATACAGATATCATGTATTAAGTATTTAGCATATTACATTCAATGTACATGATACCAGCGCGTACAGGTGTACTACTGGTCTCTCGAGACGCTCCGTGATGCTCACACATCAGGCACAAGGAAACACTGCACAAGATCATGTCTATTTTAGTATCTATTGTATAAATAGATTATGAACGATTACATAAGTATTTTCGTTTCCAACTTCTTAAATTACGGTGGAATTGTCTCATCAACCCTTCCTGGTTACACCAGTCGTATTCCTGATCCACCCTGGACCATACCGGTCCACATCCTCGACTCTTATCCGGTCCATACTGTGGACTGACTAATTATTGAAATCGTATATCGTGAGTCTCAGCCACTGACGCTGCCGTATCCTAAACGTTTACTATCACAACAAAACACTGGACCAGAGTAACACTGGCAGTAATGGTAACAGGGTTACCGTCTGGGTCGTAGGCCTTAGTCACGTACCCAAGCTTCCGACTGAGAGACTTGCCAGTCAACAGTCGACGCTACAGCACAGTAAGTCCTCACTCCCCGTCATAACTTGAGGCTAAAGTTGAATCGCTGCCATTATAGAAAACGCTAACTTGCCAAATTCAGACCACGAAGGAGGTACTCGTTAAAACTAGCGATTCATATCACTCCAGCGGGAGTGCACCCAAGGTGATGGTGGTGAATTCTCGCACTCTGCCAGTGTTCTACCAGCTGATGATCTCTCCTAGCACCTCCTGCTTGTTGACTAATACAACTGGACCAATAATGGACGAAGGAAGTTATTGTCATTATAGTTTAATGTGCCGACACCCCACCGCAGCTCTCCCACCCCACACAATAATTCACAGGACATGAGTCAGGCAACTATAACAGGGGACTGTGGTCGCCCGGCACCCAGCCAAGACCACGCCTCCTGCAGCGCGGTAATGGAAGGAATGGAGGCCAAGGAATGGTGGTGGCAGGAATGGAAGAGGGAGAGGAAGGAGCAGCAGATAAACCATTGAGACAATAAGGAAGAGAAAGATGAGAAGGGGGGTTGAAGAGAGGTTGGGGTTGCGCAAGAAGTGGAGGAAGAAGCACCTGGCACCCCCAGAGGAGAGAGAGAGACGCTCTGGGATACGGCCAGGTTGCCTGCTCGCGCGCGCTGCCAATAACCAATAAGTCTTCCCTGGATAGACATTAAGATATAACAACTAGCGAGGCAACACCAGCACAAAATTAACACAAATAAAATTAGCCAATGAGGGTAAGCAGGGAGAGGACAAGGATGGAGAGCAGGAGAGGACAAGGATGGAGAGCAGGAGAGGACAAGGAAGGAGAGCAGGAGAGGACAAGGATGGAGAGCAGGAGAGGACAAGGAAGGACAGGACAAAGTAGGAGAAGATAAAGGAGAGGACAAAGAAGGGGAGACCAAGGAATGAGAGAACAGGGAAGGAAAACTATGAGGAAAACGTGCCAAGCCATTACTACTATATAGCACTTGGAAGGGATCAGGATAAAGATGGGGGATGAGACGGGGGAGGAGGGAGGGGGAGTTGAGGGAAGGAATGGTGCCCAACCACTTGGACAGTCGGGGATTGAACGCCGACCTGCATGAAGCGAGACAAGGAAGAAGGGCAAGAGGAAGTCAAGGGGCGATCTGACAAAAAAAAGTGGAATATAAAAGAAAGGTCAGAGAAGATTAAAACAGAACCAAAATATAGAGAAGGTAGAAGAAGAACCTTTTGAGGAGGGAAATAAGGTTGATTATGAAGAAGAAAGAAGAGGGGGAGGAGTGTATTGTGTGGAGGGCGGAGGGCTGAGTGGAGGGAGGCCGAGTGGAGGGAGGGAGGGAGAGAGGGAGGCTGAGTGGAGGGAGAGAGGGAGGCTGAGTGGAGGGAGAGAGGGAGGCTGAGTGGAGGGAGAGAGGGAGGCTGAGTGGAGGGAGAGAGGGAGGCTGAGTGGAGGGAGAGAGGGAGGCTGAGTGGAGGGAGGGAGAGAGGGAGGGAGAGAGGGAGGGAGAGAGAGAGGGAGCAGTAGAGGACAATAATGGAGCGCCATCACTATAAAGACACGGGTCATTAACTAACACAACAGGACAGTAATGGACTACCGATATAACGACGACTGCTGGTAATAGGTCACTGATGAACCACACCACCGCCACCACAACACATTCAACCCATTCTCAGCAAGGCCGCCAGTGTTGCAATCTATCGCTTGCTGTTTGCCCACCTCTGTGAGCGCCGTTTTACGCCCCCTTTTGAGCGCTGTGCTGCAGTTTTCTGTGAGCTTTCTATGCTGCGCCGCCCCCCCCCCTCACAGCTCTCTGTGAGCACCATGTGTTGTACAGCTCTCTGTGAGCGCCGTGTGTTGTACAGCTCTCTGTGAGCACCGTGTGTTGTACAGCTCTCTGTGAGCGCCGTGTGTTGTACAGCTCTCTGTGAGCGCCGTGTGTTGTACAGCTCTCTGTGAGCACCGTGTGTTGTACAGCTCTCTGTGAGCGCCGTGTGTTGTACAGCTCTCTGTGAGCACCGTGTGTTGCACAGCTCTCTGTGAGCGCCGTGTGTTGTACAGCTCTCTGTGAGCGCCGTGTGTTGTACAGCTCTCTGTGAGCGCCGTGTGTTGTACAGCTCTCTGTGAGCGCCGTGTGTTGTACAGCTCTCTGTGAGCGCCATGTGTTGTACAGCTCTCTGTGAGCGCCGTGTGTTGTACA